GAGTTATAAAATTATTTTTGTAAATTGTATTAAATTTGTAAAAAAAATGGATGTAAATAATATGCCTTCGACATGCAAAAAAGCTAGATGTGAACATAAACGTAGATTGACCACTGATAACTTCTATAATAGTGTTGACTTGACTAGACAATTACTCATAGTCCATATTAAGAAATAACCGAATAGACAATCTCTACTTGTCAAAAACAACGTGAAATGGTCAGTATTTACAGTCCTGAAGAAATATGTGTGACCAAATGCAGAGATAAACGAGATGTATACATGATATATTCAGAATTTCGTTGTCAGAGGTTTAGAACTAGATCAAGAAGAGGATTGGTATTTAAGAAAGTTAATTGATCAATATAATAAATATAAATGTGGTATACACTTACGTGAACAAATGCTGAGCTACTATTCATGTAAACATATAACATATTTCTTATATAACAGTGGATATCAAAAGAAGATTTTCCTTTGCGATTTTAAACTTTCGGTCAATGAGAGTCTTTAAGGGCCAAATTCCAAGTATCTACCTATTAAAAAACTGCTAGTCCACCATTTATATTAAAATTTTCCAAAAACTGTTTTACGAAAAACTAGTTGCTGCAAATTGGTGTGTAAAGGGGTAGTGAAGCACAATACATGATGTCGTATCCTGTTGGCATCACTTAGCCTCTCCTACTCAATTCCTATCTTCACCTCCAAGCTGGTACACACCAGTAACCTGAGCAACCTCACTGGAGACTGGGTAACCAACCCCAGTGGATGGTGGGGTCAGGGCAGACGAAGAAGGGAGCCTTGGTCCTCCGATGAAGAGGGGGTTGAGCGAAGGGTTAACAACCCTTCCTTGTAGAACTCAATTGTTGCGAATACAATGGCTAATGAAACAAACGGACGGATCTCACAACGACGAACTCAGCTCAGAAAAATGGACATGATTATGGATTTAAAATTTGGAACCTGGAACGTGCGAACCTTCTTAAAGGCAGGAGCTATGATAAGTATGGCAGAAGAACTTTAAAAATACGGGGTTGAAATATTGGCACTGCAGGAAATCAGATGGAAGAGCCAGGGAGAAATTCATAAGAATAAATTCTCACTATACTACTTCGGAAATGAAATGAGACAAGGTGAAAGAGGAGTCGGGTTTATGGTAACCAAAAAACTGCGAAAAGCCATTATCGCATTTACACCAGAATCAGATAGAATTTGCACCATAAGATTTAAAGGTAAATTTCATAACGTGACAATGGTTAATGTATATGCACCGACGGAAGACGCTGATGAAGAAGACGTTGAAAGATTCTACGGAGAACTACAGGATGTATGTGATAAAATCCAAAGACACAATGCTGTTATAACGTTAGGCGATTTTAATGCTAAACCGGGGAAAGAAGAAACGTTTGCAAATATATTTGGGAAACACAGTTTGCACACTGAAACCAGTCAAAATGGACTCAGGGTGGCACAGTTCGCAGCAGCAAATAATTACGTAGTTGTCAGTACTAACTTCCAGAGAAAAGATATCCATAAAGCAACATGGAAAAAAGCAAATCAAATTGACCATATACTTATCTTAAAAAGATGGGCAACAGACATAACTAATGTTATTCAAATTAAAAACTGGAATGTAGAAGGATTCAAAAGCGCAACAAAGAGACAAGATTACAGAAATGCTCTCCAAATAAAACTCAACCGAACTAGAGAGGAAGATACTGCAGAGGAGGGATAAAGACAATTAAAAACAATTATAACAGAGTCAGCAGAGGAAACTGTCGGAAAAGCCAAAAGGCAAAGAAATGCGGAATAGTATGATGATGAATGCAGAACTGCATTCTAGAGGAAAAAAGGCAAGCTAGGCTTAACCAACTTCAAAGAAACACAAGAAATAGCGGTGAGATTTATAACGAAAAAAGAACACAAGCGACTAGAATATGCAGAAGAAAGAAAAAAGAGGCTATGAAAAAGCAAGTACAAGAAATCGTAAAGCATAACAAGAGACGCGAAAGCAGAAAATTCTATAAATCCATAAAAGAAAGCACACAGTCACTTAGACCAAAACTAACGATATACAAAGACAAGGACGGAGAACTACTAACAGAGAAGCAAAAAATTATAATGACATGGAAACAATATTTCTAAGAAAATCTAAATGCAGACAACGAAAATGATCAGAACGAGACAATATATTAGGCGAAGCTGCATATCGAAAATCCGAGTTATGAAGAAGTAGTTCAGATAATAAATAAACTAAAAAACAAAAAAGCACCAGGAACGGACGGAATTTCGGCAGAATTATTAAAGCATGGAGGATCCAAACTCTGGAAAAAAATCCATTACCTAATAACATTAATATGGACGAAGGAGCAAATGCCAAAGGAATGGATAGTTGGCCTCATACAGCCAATATATAAAAAAGGAGATAAGAGAGAATGCCAGAATTATAGGCCAATTACATTGCTAAATGTAATATACAAAATTCTTTCTGGTATAATCTACAATAGATTGTTAGAATACTCCGAAAATATAATTGATGATTATCAAAATGGATTCAGACCAAATAGAGCCACTACAGATAACATATTCATACTAAGAACGATACAAGAAAAAGCTTATGAATACGACATAGACCTATATAATATGTATATAGACTTTAAACAAGCTTTTGATAGTGTGAAAAGAGACAGAATCCTGGAAGACCTTTGTAATCTAGGTATACCTAAGAAATACATCAGCCTCATAAAAATGACGTTGCAGGGTTCAAAAGCCGCAGTCAGAGTAGATGGAGAACTGACTTCCCTGTTTAACATCAACATGGGAGTAAGACAGGGAGATGCCCTATCAACCATGCTATTCAACCTAGTTCTTGAGGCAGTCATCAGAAAAACCAATATAACCGGCCATATAAACACCAAATCATTACAAATTACTGCATATGCAGACTATGTAGCCATCATTAGTAGGAATAAGCCACGACTAATGGAAGTGTTCAAACAAATTGATCCTGAAGCAAGAAAAAGAGGTCTCAAAATAAACGAAACAAAACCGAAGTATATGACAGTCAAAAGAATAACTGACAATGAAAATAATATCACAATAGACAACTATACTATCGAATGAGTGGATGCCTTTACATATCTCGGCACAGAAATCAATCAGAAGAACTCCGTAAGTAGCGAAATTAATGCACGTATTTCCAGCGGGAATCGTACATACTATGCTAATAAAAGATTGATGACATTGAAATTATTAGACAAAATAACCAAAATGACTATCTACAGAACACTGATTAGACCCGTAGTAACCTATGGATGTGAAACTTGGGTAATGACGAAAAAAGATGAAGCCCAACTCAGGACATTCGATAGAAAAATACTGAGGAAAGTATATGGCCCGGTACAAGAGGAAGATGGCACATGGAGAATCAGGAGAAACGTCGAGGTTAATGAGTTAAATGAAGGTTATGACATTGTAAGATTTGTGAAAAGTCAAAGACTGTCATGGCTGGGATATGTGCAGAGACAAAACGATGCAAAAACAACAAAGAAAATGGTACAATGGAAGCCCATAGGAAGGCGAAAAAAGGAAGGCCCAGAACGAGATGGTTGGATGACGTGGAAGACGACCTAAAAACAATAAACATGAGACAATGGAGAAGAAGGCACAAGAGAGATCTGAATGGAAGGACATAGCCAGATAGGCAAAGACCCATTCAGGGCTATGATGCCAAAAGAAGAAGAAGAAGAAGGTGCAGCAAATTAGTATCAGTTATTCATTCCAATGTAAAAAGTTTTTTATTATTATTTTTTTATTTTTCTTTAAGTATTTTTAACTTTTAAAGCAACATTCCACAAATTTTATTATAGTAAATCAAAAATTATACATTTACATAGTTATTTATTATTTTAATAGAAAACAAATAAACATGAACAGTGCACTGGTAGCATAAACAATATATTTTAAATTTAATTTAAAACAAAAAAAATTATGTTAAACATAAACAAACAAAATTTAACCAAAAATTAATACTAATTTTAAAAAACTAACTGGCACCGTCTGTACATCAACATATTTTATTGGAGACGAACGTTTTTCTCGTATTTGTCAATTTTACCATAATAATACAAATATTACTTATCGCTGCCAGCGGCAAAATTCGTTTCGATCGTTCATTCATAATTTTTCACAATTCTCTGGGAAAAATTACCTGCTAAATTAAATATGCAACTAAACCATAATAATAAATCCGAGAACCCTAAACCGGTCGGGGCGGTCGGTAAGGTTGTAGACCTATCGGTCTGTGAACGAAAACGGATCGATATATCTATCCATGTTTCAAATAAATATATATATTTTGGCAACATCTCGTGATACTGTATTGACGCAAGACACAATGATTTGACCTATAGGGAGTTAAAATGTCTGTTGAGTGTAAAAAAATAAATATATAAAAAAATCGAAAAATTTAAACACTGACAACGGTGTCAAGCCTAAAAAGATACACTAAACGAATATACATGACTTATAATTTGAATGTGATAGTATTTCTTGGTGATGCTAAATTACTGCAACGTGAAAAGACTTCAAAATGATGGTGGGATGTATATATATTATATATATATATACTATATTATATATATATATATTATATTATATATATGATAATATAGAGTTTGAGTTTTTTATCTCTTTGACACTTTATATATATTTTTTAGTGAATTTTCTTGGGCTTAGGTTCATAAAAAAAAGTTGATTTGATACTAAGACATTTTCATATATTTTTTCGACGTTTCGGCAGGAAATCCATGCCTTTTTCAAGAAGTAATATTGACAAACTTATAAAAATTCGGTGCTAACAAGTAGACGTCACAATTAAAATAATATTAAAAACATAGGACACACCCACTAAGTCACTACATGTAAAATCATGTAGTGACTTAGTGGCATGTAGTAAAATCATGTAGTGGTAGTTGTGATGTAAGCACAACAATACTTACCTCATGGTATTTTTAGGTGGTAGTGTCTGCTGTCCTTTCGGAGGCGGAGGAGAAGCGGGAGACGACGGGGAAGGACTACTCGAGCTGGATGAAGTATTTCCAGAAGAGGCATTAGCAGACGATATGTTAGAAGTGCCTCCCGAAGTACCCGAACTTAAAGTAGAACTCGAGTCGGAAGCAGCAAGCGGAGCATGTTGTTGATTTGGTACAGGCGCACGCGCCAACGGCACAGGAGGCTGTTGTTGCACCTGCTGAGGTATTACGTTGCGGGTGTGATCAGTTGGTATTAGAGGCGACGTATCTTCAGATGTTGGTGTAGGGGGTGCTACCCGTGAAGGACCTGGTTGAGCACTAAAATAGAGAATATAAAATCTGTGTAAGATATAGATTGGTCTGTGTGTTTTTTCAGTGCAAATAATACAGTTTATTATATCAAAATGTCTATAAATCATTCGCAAATAGCAAACAAGACTAAAAATAGACAGATCGTCAAAAAAGAGACCACCTAAAATTTTTGCCATTTTTTAATTTTTACGAATCATACCACAAAGTGATTGTCATAGATGTTTGTGTAATGTTTAAGAATATGTTATAAAGCAGTATGCAATCATTTTTTAAATAACAAATGTCAAAAAATAACTTCCTCCAAAATAATGATTTTATTGAAAAATAAAAAAAAATTAACATTGTACATTTTTTCTGTTTTCTATATAAGTATAAACTTACAATTAAGTAGTGATTATTAATACTGTGTATTGCCACCTCTATTGTGAATTACACTCCTCATTCGATTTGGCATTGAATTAATCAAATTCTGGATGTGGTTTTGAGGAAAAGCTTCCCATTCTTCCATGAGCGCCAACCGAAGCTGCTCACAATTTATTGGAGCAGGTATTCTGTTTCTTATCCTTCGTTTGAGTCGGTCCCAAACATGTTCATTCGGGTTCAAATCTGGACTTTGAGCCGGCCAGTTCATTTTTGGCACACCGACAGTTTCCAGATATTGCGTTACCGTCCTGGCTACGTGTGGCCGTGCGTTGTCTTGCATAAAAATAAAGTTTTCGCCGACAAACCCAGCAAAAGGCATTACATGCTCGTCTAGAATTTAATGCTCACCATGCTCGGTAATGTGTCGGTGTGCATTCAACGCTCCTCTATCAATAAATACGAGATCAGTACGACCCTCGAATGAAATGCCTGCCCAAAACATTACCGAACATTATCTGAGCCATAAAGAACCATCCTGGACTAATTACTAAACAAAACATTTTTCCAATCTTCTACCGTCCAATGCTCGTGGTCTCTACTAGCAAACTGTAGTCGGCGTTGTCGATGTGCTGCTTTTAACAAAGGTCCTGTTGCTGGACAGCGAGTCCTTAGACCAAATTCCCTCAACCTTCTTCTCACAGTAGTGAAAAGAGAGGAAGACATGAAAATCACAGAAAGTTGTCTATCGATTTGGTAGAAGGAGTAAAAACACACATAAACAGCATCCCTCGAATTGAGAGCCATTACCTGCGTCAGAAAACCTCGAAGGAATTCATCGATGGTGGAAAAACAGTAATGGATCTTTACTCAGACTACAAAGACAATTGCATAGAGCAAGGACTACCCTATTATTGTTCTGAAGCTATTTTTTTGTGGCATTTTAAAATAATTACTATTTAACTGGGAATAAGCCACAATTAAAGATAAAAATACGTTTATTAACGTTTCATAACATAACATAATGTAAAGTAAAATCAATAACCCATAAGTTCTTAATCCGAGGCCACACACAGAATGAAGGGGACGCAGTACTTTCAACGATTGAGAAGGAAGTAAAAAAAAAGTCCTAAATCTGGATCCATTTACGTACCTTCCCAATACGTCTGTGCCATCAGAAGTTCGAAAAAACGTGGGACGCCGTACATTGTAAATGAGATGGGATACGAAGATTTTATGGATTTGAAACAACTGCCAGTTATTAAGCTGAATAGGAGTGTTGATGGTGCGGTTGTAAAGTTGTCTGATATAAAAGTCATTAAAATTGAAAAGAACGTAATGAATGAGATTAAAATATTCTATAAAACGTCTTATTTTGATGACTTCAAGGAACTTGATTTGACAAAAAGAACATCCAGAAACAGCCGACCTCAAGAACTTAAACCATTGTACCACCAAAAATTGGATATATCCGAAAGGAAGAAAAATGACGTGAGGAGTCTTGTGGATGCGGGGTTGATTCCTGGATATTACCGATCCTACTATGAAAGTATTTTTAATTGAAAATGTAATAGCTCTTAAGTATGCCTATTTAAAAGAATTCAAATTAAAAAGAGATATACTTACTTGGTGGATAATTTCATTAAAGATCTAGCTAAATTGTTCAATTCGACAAATGCTAAAGGAAATATGCCAATTCTACCATTTAATTTTCCTTCTGCCCAATTTTCATCGACTCTCCTAATGACACTGATGATATCTCCTTTATTAAATGACAAACATCCTTCTTCTTCGTCGTTTGCCATACGAAAATCGTATAATGCTTTACATTGTGGTATATGACTGGGAACAGGGGTTATTATCTAAAAAAAAAAGATATATTTAGGATTATTTATTCCACAGTTTAATTTATGGTAAGAATTTTATGAATGAATAAAAAATTAATAATATATTATAAGGAAGTGTAGATCTAATATATGTATAAACACATTTGGAAAAATATTTTTCCTTTCAATTTCTACTCGATTTTGAAGCCAAGTATAAACGCGGATTGTACGGCTGACTAACTGAACGCAGCTAAAAGTTATGTTGATATTACTGACTGTTGACATGGACGACTATAAACGCGCCAATACATTCCAGGCTAATATGAACCCTTACGATGTAATGAACAAACAGTATGGCTAGCATTGTTCTTCATAAGTTCGGAATAGAAAGAGCTCGTATTTTTGAATTACTAAAACCGTTAAATACTACTGGTAAGTTATTTATGGATACGGGAGGAGTAAGTGACGGTAGAAGATCCGACCGGCCTCGGGTGGCTCGTACGCCGTACGCCACAGGTATTTAACGGTGTTAGCTCAAGAATTAACCGAAATCCTGTCCGAAAACAAAAAATCACGGCTCGGGAATGTTGCGCCGAGAACCATGAGTCGCACTATCAAACAAGACTTGTGACTTTCAAACGACAATAGGACACTAAAACAAAAAAAAATCAAGAGCGTTCTCTTGATCAAATTCTCTTTACAGATAAAAATAATTTTACTATGGCGGGAATTTTCAATAAGCAAACCGATATGAGTTTATCCATGGTTATCCAATGAAGCCCGCAAACTGATGCCAAGGACCTAACGACGTTATTATACTGCCTCATTTATGATTTGGTGGAGAGTGATCTATAAACTATACTATATAAATTACTATAAGAAAGCTGCAAATGTAATATTACTGTTAAGATCAGTGAATTTAACCTAATGAAATTGTATGCATTTACTACTCACCAGTAAAATACCAGATATCTTTTCAAACCATAACCCTCTAATAGCGCAAATGAGTATTAAACTAAAAAGATTGGAGCAGAAAAGAAGAACAAATCAGATAGACGTCAGTCATTTATGTAACCTGGAGGTACAGGAGAGACTGCAAAAATGTATTAATAATAATTTGAAAATACTTCATGAAAAGGAAACATCTCAGCCAACGAACAACATAGATAAAAAATGGCAAAACGTAAAAATGGCGATAACAGGTCCTGCGAAAAAAATTTGGAATAAAGAAAAACCAGAAATAAAGCAAAGGTGGATGACTGATAAGATCCTTCTTCTCATGGACAATCGGAGAATAATGAAAGGAAAAAATGAACAAAGGTATAAACAAATACAGAAAGAAATCAAAATAGAAATCAGAATAGCAAAAGAAGATTTTTATAAAAGAAAATGTGAAGAAATAGAGCAATTGCAGTCAAAACATGATATTTTTAATGTACATAAAAAAGTGAAAGAACTTACAGGTACACAAAAACGTAAGCAGCCAAATAACCTGTATAATGTCAACGGAAACATAATAACAGAACTAGAAGAACAGTTGAAGACATGGAAAAACTATATTGACGAACTCTTTGCAGATGATAGAAAACAATCTGAGCTAAGTAACATACAAGGAGACGAAGGTTCAGAAATAACGGAAGAGGAAGTAATGTACGCACTAAACAGAATGAAAAATGGTAAAGCCCCAGGTCCAGATGAAATACCAATGGAAATCCTTAAACTAATAGAAAAAGACTCGATTCACATTTTAGTTGAACTTTTCAATAGAATTTATACATCAGGAAAAATACCACAAGAATGGCTTTTATCCACCTTTGTTATTATACCAAAAAAGATAAATGCCAAACAATGTAGTGATTACCGTACAATCAGTCTGATGAGCCATGTACTGAAAATATTCCTGAAAATTATACACTAGAGTACACAGAAAACTGGAAATGGACATTAATAATATCCAGTTTGGATTCCGAAATGGACTCGGAACAAGAGAGGCGTTGTTTGCACTGAACGTTATGTCTCAAAGATGTCTTGACATAAATCAAGATGTATTCATGTGTTTCATAGATTACAACAAGGCCTTTGATAAAGTGCGGCATGATCACGTAATCAGACTCCTGACAGAAAAGAATTTAGATAAACGAGACATCCGACTAATAACAAATATGTACTACAATCAGAAAGCAGTAGTGAGAGTAGAGAATAATACCACTGAAGAGATTGAAATAAAGCGAGGTGTGAGACAAGGGTGTATACTGTCACCAACCCTGTTCAATCTCTATTCCGAAGACGTAATGAATAGAACACTCTCTAAGCAATCCGTAGGTATTAAAATAAATGGTGTTAGATTAAACAATCTGAGATTTGCCGACGACACCGTTCTGATCGCAGAAACACTTGAAAGAGCTACAGACATTGGTGAATAAGATAGCAGACTGCAGCGAAGAATATGGACTATCTTTGAACATAAAGAAAGCTAAATTTATGGTAATATCGAAATCAACACAAAATGTCCAAAATTTATATTTACACAATGAAATTATCGATCGAGTTAGCAAATACAAATATTTAGGCACTTTTATAAATGAAGACAACGATAGCTCAGCAGAAATCAAAATAAGAATAGAAAAAGCCAGATCCATATTCACTAAAATGGAGAGAGTGTTCTGCGGAAGAGATTTGAGCCTTGAAATGAAACTTCGCCTGATGAGATGTTACGTACTTTCTGTGCTGTTCTACGGAATGTAGTCATGGACGTTGAAAAAGATTGATACCAAAAAATTAGAGGCATTTGAACTGTGGATGTATCGCAGAATCCTGAGAATATCATGGACCGAGAGAGTCACAAATGTCGAGGTCTTGAGAAGAATGAATAAAGAAAAGGAAGTTATATTTACGATCAAAAAACGAAAACTGCAATACTTAGGACACATTACAAGAGGCGAAAGATATAAACTCCTTCGAATAATTATGCAAGGGAAAATAGCAGGAAAAAGGTCCATAGGAAGAAGACGAAACTCTTGGCTAGAGAATCTACGGGAATGGTATAGCTGTAGCAAGAACGAATTGTTTCGGTCAGCAGTTTCGAAAATACGTATAGCCCTGATGATCGCCAACCTTCGGAACGAAGATGGCACTTGAAGAAGAAGTAAAATACTACTCATTGCTCTTTTGAAAAAGAACCAACTAAAACGATATACGAGTAATAATACCTGCAATTTAAACAGATCGAACCTGCACCCATTTTAAAGAAACTACAGGATTATAATGAACGAAGTATTCTAATAAACTCTAATTATTAAAAATAAAACTAGAAATTAGTTCCGGCCAGCAAGCCAATAAAATTGGCAATAGCATAGCATTTGCTGTATATATTTAAAAAAAAAACTTTTTATGAAATAAAAAATCACTCAGAATTTTTTATCTCATAGGTGGCATCTTAAAGGATTATTTCCGTGTTTATGCCATCCTAAGAATTATCTATATTATATTATCGGGCGGCCTTTGAAGACGACGAAGTCGGCTTTCACCTCCGCATCACCAGAAATCAGCAAGAAACGGTTTTCCACAAAACCAACTTCAGTGACGAACATTGAGGGGATATCCGTATGCAATCAGCGCAAATGTGATATTCTATCAGTCCAGGAAATTTACTGCGGTACCACAAAGCGGAGACCTAAGATAAGAAATATGAAAATGGTCTTTGAATGAACTCACGCTAAGGAAGTGCGATTTTTGTTGGGCCAGTTACAGATGTTATACCTACTTACTTTACCTGGTAAAACGATATTAAAATTCTAACTGTTGAGATTAGAGGAAATAAATATAATAATAATAAGTGCTGAATGAGACATTTGCGCTCTACAGGAAACAAAAAAGAAAGGAAAAGAACAATCAAAATTAGGCAAATCCATTCTAATCTACAGTGAAATCGCAAAAGAAAACAGCCAAATTAAGTGTGGCCTTACTAATACACCAAAAATATCAAAATCAGATCAAGGAGTGTCAATACATATCAGAAAGGATTGTAACAGCAAAGATAATAATGGAAAAGGAAGACCTGAACATAATCGGAGTATACGGCCCAAAAAATAACAAGCCTCAAACAATAAAGGAGAACTTTTATGACGAATTACACATGAACACATTAATCATGTCTATCTACATAAAAAGAAGAAGAGATTAGAGTTTACACAATAACAATCCAGTTCTTCAAAGCACCCAAAACCAAATTTGTGTTTAGACTATCAACCAATTGTAATAACCAAAAATATAATCTTGTAACGGAAGATTTTAACTGACATAGTACGGGTTATAACGGGTTATGGGTTATAACGAGTCGAATCAGAACTATAAATGAAATTTGAATGAAACGTTTGGGTATTTAAAACCTACTCCAACTTACAAGATATTTTGTGACTCACAAGATATTAATTATTTTCATTTGATGGAAAAGTAAGACCAAGAGAAAGGTCACGGAAAAGGTGGGAGGATGAAGTGCCAGCGGACAGGCAAAATTTGCTAGATGTGAGAAGAGCGGCGTGCAACCGACAATGCTGGAGGCATAGTTTGAAGGACGCCGAGATCCGATTTGAGCTGTTGCTCCATTGGAGAAAGGAAAGTTTTTAGGAATGTTCTTCTAAAATATATAGAACTTAAAATATATAGAAAAGTCCAAACATAGAATAAATATCCAAATATTATTTAAGTTTTCTGAATGAAAAATTATTGCATTTTTATCGAGAAAATATACTCGTATACTACTTAATTGAGTATATGAATGGCAATATCTATTCCTAACAATTTCAGGAAGTGAAGAGGAGTCTGAATGAATAATGTTCCACTAATATCTATCTTATCACAGGATGTAAAGCAAATAATGCTAAAATTGATAATTTCGTTATTTCAATTAAACTTTTTATAACAAATAAACTGAATGCCTCTTAATAACTGTAGAGTCTTGTGTCAAAATGCAATATTAATTTAATTGTACCACATATTGGAAGAGAAAAAAATTAAAATGTCAGAAAAAAAAAAATCGAACGAATTATACAATAAGTATTTGGTAATTTAAATTATATATTTGTGTGATTTACCTGAACATAACTCAATGGGAAAACCCCCTGTTTTCCTCCACATTCTCCTTGATACCAATTGGTGTCAATACGTTTTTTCAAAATAATGACATCTCCTCGTTTGAAGTTCAGATCCCTGAAACATAAAAAAAAGTTTGATAACCAAAGTATAAAAACTATTATTAGGCACTAATAAAAAATATAATAAAATCAAAAAAATGTATGTTGGTGATCTGAAAATTTTTTGTTCCGATCTTATTTTTCAATGTATTCTGTATTATCCATAAATTTCATCCAGCGGTTTTCCTATGCTGGTGTTTCAGTATCGCAGTGTTTCTATAGAAGAGCTGCAAAGTACTCCTCTACAGTCACAATGAGTTCTTGATTTGAACAAAGCCATTAACTAGCGAGGAATGTTTTCTCTTTTAAATTAGATGGGTGTACGAGAGAATCCAAATGGTATATGAATATTCCAACGCTTCAATGTAGATCTCCTAATTTCCGAAGTGTCAAGACACTTTTCTGAACAGACGTATTTTCCTAATAGAATAGACTTTTTCTTCTTTAACCATGTATGCTTCCGTCCAATTGATAATTGTTTTAATTCTTCTTCTTCTTACGGTGCCTATCCGTTCCGGATGTTGGCGATCAACATGGCTATCCTAACTTTGCTTGCTGCTATTCTGAATAGTCTGGTTGTCGATGTATTAAACAACTTTCTCAGGTTTTTAAGTCAAGATATTCTTCTTCTCCCTGCTCCTCTCTTTCCAAATACCTTGCCCTGAAGAATGAGTTGCAACAAGCTGTATCTCTGTTCATTCCTCATAACATGGCCAAGATATTCTAGTTTGCGCTCTTTGATGGTGTTAATAATCTCGCATTCCTTGCCTATTCTACGTAGGACCTCAACATTAGGCACACGATCCACCCATGAAATTCTTAAGATACGTCTGTAACACCATCTCGAATGCCTCGAGTTTTCTTAAGGAAGCTTCGGAAAGTGTCCAGGCCTCTACTCCGTATAATAAGGTAGAAAATACATAGCATCTAATGAGAGAGATTTTTGTAGCAAGTGGTAAATCATGACTTCTGAAAAGAGACTTCATCATTATGAACGTTGATCTCGCTTTTCCTGTGCGTTGCTTTATTTCACTGTAGTGATCCCATTGGCTGTTAATGTTGGTACCAAGGTATCTGTAGCTGTCCACTCTGCCAATTGGATGTTGGTTAACCAAAAGCTGTGTATTTAATATATCGCGCTTACTGCTTATTGTTTTAATAGAAGTTTTTTTCTTCTTTAATTCGGCTCTATATTCATGTCATGTTAAAAAATATTACTATAAGGGCCAGTAATGAAGATCTAGAACAGATCCTCATTTTCATACCGATTCGGGTGGAGCGCCCTGTTTATATAACTACCCACTCCGTCAGTAGAGCAGTATAACAGTTGGGTACTTACAACTATAGTTAGATAATTATACGAAAAGCATAATCACGCCACTGTGTCTCTTTAAATGCAGTCGTGAAAATTGTATAGTTTAAAAAATTTAATTTTTAAGAGAATATGTGAGTTCGCTAGACATACCGGTTAAGAAATATTAAAGTTCATAAAGGTCATTATTGTAAATGTCAAAGATTTGGATAATAATTGATAAATATTATTACTTGCTTTTTATAAGCCATTTACAACATACCTAATAACTTAAATATAAAAATTTAATGACCGTAAAGTCCAGAAAATATCTATAACGAAGAGCTGAATAATATGCTTTAAGTACTAAAGTATAATGTATATGCCGAATATATAATTAGAGTATCTCTTGAAGATCGCCCTGAATGTGCCAGAGTCAATGGAATCATCATTAACAATATATGATATGCCGATGACACCGTAGTATTAGCAGAAACAGAAGACCAACTAAAAATATTGATGAACATATCAGAAGAAAGTCACAGGCTGGGCTTGGACATTACCTGTTCAAAAACCAAAATTCTGGTATTCCACATAAACCCCCATGAACAAGTTACACCTAACATACAGTGGTGTTAAGTCCTGCATCACCTTACCAAATACATGAAAATAGAAGTTTAAGGCATTTACCTTAAATATTTTTTAACCATTTACTATCTACATCAAACAAACACCTAAACACAATATTATAAAATGTGTTACGATTTTAAATGTTATGGCATATAGAACTGTAAATATTTTATGACTAATTCTTTTTTATTGATTCTCGTAATTTGTTGGTCAAAATCTACCTGAGACACGTTGGGTTCCCCTTCGCTATAACAGCGACGAATACGAGTTTTCTGGAACCGCTTCGATACCAGTTGTTAGATCATTGCCGCTCTGTCTACGAGAGCCTCGTAAATACGAGATGATTCTATGGAGTTCCACTATAATGTAGAAGGTCGCCGAACTTTCCAGGTAGCGGAAGTTTTTGTATATAAACGACACATTTTTATTTGTTAGTCAGTCATAAGAAGATCGGGAAACGCGATTTAATTGTAACGAAACATAAATAAATTTATACAGTTATTTAATAAATTAGAATAAAGAACTATAAATTAGAACTATATAAATATACAACAAATGGAAACACAGTAAAAATTTTGATTAATAAAAAAATGTAGTTCGGAAAATTTGTACAAGACGATATTGTACATCACATTGAAGTAATTTAAACAAATTTTAATATTTAATTGGCCATCCCTTGTTTTTAATAACTAAGTTACATCTTTTGGGCATGGAGTTTATTAATTTTTGCAGTTCCTCCATGGAAACACAGTGATGCCAAGCGTGGATTATAGATTCGATTAATTTCGTTTTATTTGTGGGTTTGCTTTTGGAAATGATGTTTTATATCCTTTGCCACAAATTCTCAATTGGATTGAGGTCCGGGAATTGCGCTGGCCAGTCCATACTATCACTTTCATTACTCTCCATCCAAGCTTTAACCAATTTTGCTCTATGGCAAGGAGCATTATCATCCTGAAAAATAAATTTTTCTTCGCCAAACAGGTCTTTTCCACTACGCAGCATCTTATTCTGTAGTACCTCAATGTATTTAGTAGCATTCGTCATCCCAGAGACAACGTTTAGGCGACCAACTCCTCTAGCGGACATGCAACCCCATATCGTAACGGAGGTTGGATGTGGGAAGAACACATTTTGGAGAAAATTCTTCACCAGGAAATCTTCTGACGTAGGCATTTCCAGACAATTGTTTCCAAGTCAGAGATGTAGTGCACTCAAGTCCTTCCCCTTTTTAAATTTAATATTTGTTTCGTCTCTTTTAAGCGTTTTCTGTGTGTTTTAAATTGTCCTTAAGTGTTTTAACTTTAATAATTGTATATACTTGACTTTGCAATCATTTGCCATATATGCCAATAGAACTTTATCAAAGAAATTTGATAATTACAAGTTGAAAGAATTGCACACCCACACAATTTGTACATCTAATCTCATTTATTGTCATACAACTGTCAACTTCATAAAATAACACAATAAATAACACACATTTCATAAATATATCTCTTGAATAAATATAAATAACTTTTAAATAATTCAATGGTATAGAACATCACTTTCATCTAACAAACAATCACATTACACCTATCTCTACTTCATTGGATAAAATCTATGTCCTCAAGAACTTCCCGTTTATTGTCAAACAAATACAATAGCAGACTTAAGTTCTCCATTCAACAATACAGGATAGTTTGAACCATGTTCTTCCAACCATCAATTAATAGAGTACCGGCATCATTTATTTAACTTTGTATCGAGACCTGAAGATGCTTTGCGTATTGTAGAAAGCGAAACCGGTCGTCTGGATAGTTAAATTAAATTGATTGTGAGTAAGTCTTATTTATTATTTCTTTTACCTATTTGAAATGGACTCGCACAAGCAACACATTCATGATTTTTATATTCTTTGGTTATATTATTTCCAATTCACAAAATGCATTGCCAAACTTTTTTCATATTCTCGTCCAGCGGAAACTTACGTATGGAATTTTTTTGTGAATTATAATAAGATGAACATTGAGGAACACTGCAATAGTTTTTTGGAGTCGAAATCATTGTATATAACAATATAAACCGGTCGCTACTATGTATACAAAATAAAGACAATTTCAATGTTTTTCCCGAAATGGATGCTTTTTGAAATCTAACACCAGGCGTCGCCCACTTTGCGGTTCCTCGCCAATAAACGACTGCATCACAAAAACTTACAGGTAGTTTATTGGTCAAACAATTTGTTAGACTTTTTTTGCCAGCATATCCACATACACTCGTCTATGTTTCGAGACCGATACAATATTAATGTTTTTGTTAACTTTTTTCACAGATCCAAAATCGTTCTTTAATTGCATAATATGATTGTAAATGAAGTAACTTAGCCAAACCAGATATAAAACAGACAGGTAGTCGGATATAATTATGCAGAATCCCAATGTAGACTGTATTAAAAAATGTTTAAAGATTATCAAAATGCAATAGCTACAGCACTTTCTCTTCTTCTGTAGTGCTTAATCCGTGTCGATGTTTGGCGGACCATCTGGCAACTGCAACTTTGCACACTGCTGTCTCTAAAAATATTTGTGGTTGTTATGTTGAACCACGTTCGTAGATTTTTCAGCCAGGACAATCCTCGCCTTCCTGGTCCCCGTTTTCCTTCTACATTTCCCTGCATGATTATTTGCAGCATTCCATATCTTTCGCATTTTTCCTCATGATGTGAAACCGATGTAATTCGATTTTGGCTGTTTTTATTGTTTTGGAATAACAGCCTCTTTTTTTCTTTTTTCGTTTCTTAACAGAACCACCCTCATCTAGTAACGATGGTCGGTAACGATATCTTCAGGATGCGACGATAAATCCACATTTCAAAAGCCTCAATTTCTTGCACGTGCTTCTGTGAGAGTCCATGACTCCAACTCCGTACAAAAGTATAGGAAAGAGTAACAATCTGTAGTTAACCTGATTTTTATGATTTGAAATACCTTAACCATTTTTAAATGCAGATCATGCTTGCTCTATTCTACATGGATTTCTATGGAATGGTCCCAATTTTCATTGACGATCGTAACCAAGGCAGTTGTATGTTATTACTCTTTCAATTTGAT